AAGAGACTGGACAGCCATTTGTCTGAAATGGTATAGGGTTTCCTGCCTGAGCAGGGGGTTGGACTAGAAGACCTCCAAGGTCCCTTCCAACTTTATTATTATTATTATTATTATTATTATTATTATTATTATTATTATTATTATTATTATTATTATTATTATTATTATTATTATTATTATTATTATTATTATTATTATTGAGAAACCCACAGGAGAGAATGCCTGTTCTGTTGTCAGAGCCACTGCTGGAGGCCACTGATCTCAGAGCACCCTTGAAAGCTCAACAGGGTTGTCCCTGATTAATATTTGGATGGGGAACCCAGCAGGGAAACTTAGGATTGTTAGCTAGATCAAGAGGTGGAAGCAAACATCCCGGAAGAGGCTAACCCCTTCTTCCCAATGTCTTACCTTTTTGAATGTTCATGAAGGCAACTTCGAGAATGCTCATCTGAATCTGAAGTTGTTTGACTTGCAATTTAAGAAGTTCAAGCTCTGGATGGGAACGTAATTGAATTAGACTTCCTCATTGATATCAAATTCAGTTAGAGACTTTTCAACGAAAAGAATGAAATGTATAACCGCCATGACTTTGGAGAACATTTTCATCTAGCCAGAGGGACTCAGGAACTTGACCCTCATTCCCAAAGCTCTTACTTCAGATTGGATTTGTTGGGTGTTTTGTTTTTTTTTTGAAGAAACCATGAGGGGTCACCTCATATATTTTGCAGCAAGAAATGTGATTGGAATTAAATGAACAGTAATGTCACTTTTAGGAATATATGAAAAGTGCTATTCTATCTTTGGAAGTATATCCTTCATAACTATACATTCTTGTAAGCCCCGTGATGATGCAGTGGTTAGAAGGCAGTATACTGTAGGCTACTTCTACTGACTGCCAACAGTTTGGCAATCACCAGCTCAAGGTTGACTCAGCCTTCCATCCTTCCAAGATTGGTAAAATGAGGACCCTGACTGTTGGGGGGGCAAGAGGCTGACTCTGTAAACCGCTTAGAGAGGGCTGTAAAGCACTGCGAAGCAGTATATAAGTCTAAGTACTATTGCTATTGGCTCAGCCTTCCATCCTTCCAAGGTTGGTTAAAACAAGGACCCAGATTGTTGGAGGCAATATGGTCTAAACCGCTTAGAGAGAGCAGTAAAGCACTGTGAAGTGGCATATAAGTCTAAGTGCTATCGCTATCGCTTGTGAAGTCTCTCATGTAGACATTCACCAAACGTTGACTCAAACATTCATGCAGAAGATGCCCATTCATGGATACAAAGAGATATTTCAGAGCTTATAC